GAAATAAATCTAGTGATTTTGCAGACTATTAGCGTTGTACCATTTATTTTCCTTTATTTTATTTATTTATTTATTTTGGTGGCAACTTTTTTTTTGGCCAGGCAGTGTATAAATCTAATAATTCTTCTCTGAGAGTTTCAAATGAATCTGTCTACTGTCCACTGGTTTGTGRAATATTTTGTCAACAGACAGTCAAAAACATTGGCATGCAAGGCAGCAGACAATATGCATTCCTTTAAAAAATGTTCCTTTCATTTGTTAATGTCATGGAGCTGTTCAATGATTGTGTTCTGCGGTTGCAGGAATATAATAATAAATCCAATGGTACTGTTATTCTTTTATACTAATATTGAAATGTATTTTTCCTGTCACAGTCTAGCAGWGGCTGAATCGAAGTGAATAAAAAAAGTTGTGATATTACTGAAAGCTTCAGAACACAGGCCAGACTGACCGCCAAAACCACAAAAAAGACAAGAAAACTGTATAAGCCTCTATATTTATGTATCATGTATGTTGGATTCAGCACTATCTTCTGAAGTAATATGAAAAGTATAATGTGGACTGATATGGATAATTTTCCAGTTATGCTTTCAATTAAGAGASAGTCTGTGTGAACATCATTATCCATCTATCCATCCATCAGGTCTCAGAGGAGCTGGTGCCTATCCATCAATCATTGTGAGAGGGGTGGGGTACATGTGGGACAGGTCAGAAAGTTCATCACGGGGCCAAACAAGAATTCACACTTTTCACTCACACCTAGGGACAATTTAGAGTCACCAACAAACCCAACATGTATRTTTTTGATCTGTGGGAGAAAACAGGAGAACCCATGAGTGCAAAGGGAGAACATGAAAGCTCCACACAGAAAGGCCTGGGGGCAAATACACGCCATTAGCTTCTTGAAGTTCAGTATGTTGTAGGACAGTGATTCCCAACCAGGGGTACGTGTACCCTTTGGGGTATGCGAGCATATTACGGGGGTACGTGGAAAAAATTCCCAGATGTTTAAAAAATAAATAAAAAAGGACTGGAATATGCATGGCCCTATTATTTTAGCAATGCAGAAAATGCAGATGAAATCACGGAATTTACACAAAATGGAATCCAGTATAAAATGCAGAAACTCTTGGAATTTGCTCATTTGGGTGAGTTTTTGATGTATTTTGGAAAATACAATAGATTTTGGACACTGCTGTTTTCTGCACCTGCCGTTACCTGGTTTATTTATTTAATTACGTATTCACTTTCAAGGCAACATTTTTATCTTTATGTTTAATTTGATTTGAAAAAAATAAAATAAAATGCCTGAGAATTAAACATTCTAGGGGGTTAAATAAATAATTTTTATTTAATAATCACTTGATGTACATTATAGTTTCAGAGAATCATCATTTTATTTGACAGAGGGATTACTAGTGGTATGACAAAATGACTCTGGGGGTACACAAGTCTAAAAAGGTTGGGAACCATTGTTGTAGGAGGCAGGAGACTGGCCAACTTTAATATACTGTTTATGCACTAAATTTGTATGTAAAAGCTGTTATTTAAACTGCCAGGCAAAATGACACTAAATGATTTCACATTGAAAGATTTGATGCATTTAAAGATGGTTACTGGCCGTTCCAGGATTAATTTCCCAACAAGCTGCACACAACAAACACATATAAACACTGCCACAATTTACTTTAGCCTTTTAAAGCTGTCTGAACAATCAATGAAAGAAAACATGTTTTTTTAACCAAAAAAAAGTTTCATCTGGCAAACTGTATTTGTTTATAAAATTTATTTAAACTTTTGCATGCCATACATTTCAGTTTTTCTTTCTGATTAAAAACATTTATTTTTACTGATATCGCATCAACTACATCAATTTCTAGAATTTTAGTATTAGAGATAGTTTGCTTTAAATACCTTTTTACAAATTATCTGTCATATTGGTGAGAAATAAAATCCTTATAGTTTACTGTAGATCAAATTCACAGAGACCTAATCTTTGTTGACTTATCTAAATGTCTGAAGCAGAAAGCCATTTTTGACATGCTTGCACACACATGGATTTTCTTTTTCTAATCCAGTGAAACCTCCAGAATGTACTTTTACAGTAACACAATTTTACAACTTTAACAAGGGACATGAGTAAATCTAAGCAAAACAACAGTAGAGAGCTTGTTGTGACTGGTTCAGTGTGCTGTAGATATGATTTATTGGAAAGTGTAACATGCGGTTTAAGTGAACAGGTGCAGATAAATGCACGTGATTGAAACAAAGCTGTTTATGAATAGGACAGAAGTATTTACATGTAAAATGAATAGTGGTAAGAGTTTTACAGGAGTTAATGCCAAAACATGATGAAAATAAATCCATGGCAGTGTTTTATTATTTACACACACAGAGAGAGATATTAGCCTTGTAATTTATGAGGCAGAAATAAAAGTTGATGAGATAAATGGACTGAGGGGAGAAAAAAGCTGTTTTTCTGCCTTGATGTTCTTCATCGTAGCACTCTGAGGCATTTACCTGAAGGCAGCAGCTCAAAAAGTCTTGGAAAATAATATAAATCCTGGATGGGGGTCAGTGGGACACAKATGTTTGTTTCAGTAGTTTGGAGCATCTGCTGCAGCTTCCTAACATTGGATTTAATCGCTGAACCAAGTCAGTTAGAGAAGAAGGCTGCATAAAACAGCTTCAGTGAGAGTTGAATAGAATATTGTGGGGTGTCCAATTTCAGTTTAGCCCCTTGAATGGTTTACAGTAAATCTTGAGAAGTTCAGCTCCCCTTTGAGATTTTCATGAATGAGGTTTTGTTTACATTACCACCATATTAGTATCAAAATCAAACTGGAAATTTGAATTTATGATGGTAATAAGATGACTGTATCATCTGCATAGAAGTGGAATGGGGCATTTCATAAATACTCCCAAAACTCGGGATACAATACTGTACCGTAAGAAGGTGCAGCCAATATTGTAAAGGTAAAAGTGTAGGGGGGCAAGCAAACATCCCTGAGGAACAACAATACTAATTGTTCAGAAGCTGAGTGTGTAAGCCAAGCTGCTGCCTGTTTGTCAGGAAGCTATGATCCTTGCTTGATCAAATTTACATGTTGTTGTTTTTCCCTTTGGATTCCTCCTTTCTGCAGCAGTTATCACAGTGAGAAACCTAAATGAAAGATTTGGTAATTGTTTAATGCCAGATGTTTTTTCCTGACCCAAAGGGCTTGAACCTACAGCCTCAGAGTTACAAGACTGTGTCTCTGACCACTTTAAGTTTAGATAATTTCTGAAAAAGTGTTCGAACAAATGTTGCCTGCAGCGGTTCGTTTGGGTCTATACTGCTAGCTGGCAGGCATTGACCCTAAGTCAGTTCAGGCATTAATAAATCCAAGTCATTTTCTTCTGCAGTTTRAAGAGTACAAGTGTTTGATACAGCAAATCACTCAGCTGTTCATTCTGATTATTGTCATCACCTCATTAACAGCTGAAAATAAAAATAAAAAACAACTATCGTTAATTTAGAAAACAGTCCTTGACTCTCCTTTGTCTTCAGCGATGTAGTTAAAGTCTGTGTAACGTGAATTAAGGAGTTTGCCTTGAAACATCTAAAAAGGTTTTTTAACTTCAAGATCTTATAATGAAGTGTGGAATTAGATCCTCATAATGAGAATTTCAGAATGTCAGAAATCTTTATTAGATCATTAAATGATGACCTTGACAGAATGGCTACATTTTTCTAAACAGTCGACCAATTAGTCATACGCTTGCTGAGAAAGCTAGAGTTATGCTCATTAGATGAAAAGCTGAGTTTTGTTTGACAGGAAAATGGGCCGATGTTGACTGAAGTTGTGCTTGATATTTTTTTGTCTTGTGAAGAGCTGTGGTGACAGAGAGCTGCTGATTAGCATCAGAACCTGCCTCTACAATAAATCATACTGCAACTGGAACTTTTACAATCAATCACTATTTCTACAGCCCTTTCCAGCAAACTAAAGGTACACAAAGTGCTTCAAAATACAAAAGTTAAAAACAATAAACAACAATGTAAAAATGCCAGAAAGCCGCTTTAGGTGTTAAAACCTGCCTCATCATAGTCTATCTAAACACAGTGAAATTGCCCTCTTGCTGTTTAAGAACCTCCTACTTTTTCATACACTCCCACTTCAACAGGTCTTTACAACAATGCTTATGGGGAGGGGTGCTCTGTGGGGCGGGAGCACAGCTGCAGACTGAGCTCCAGGGAGGAGCATTGTGTAAATRGACGGTGCTTTGTACCAGCAAGAGTTTAGGCAGCTCCACATGGCCACCACAAGAAATTTAAGGATTTCTTAAACATGCWTGAGTGAAYGCAACASTCTGGGTATGTTTTTGATGAGGGAACGACGTAACATAACATGAAGCTCAAAAGACTTGACTTTGCATTAGAAAAATGTACCCCTCATTTCTGCCTCAGTCCCTCACACACTTATCTGTCCTATTTGTCTCCCTGCCAGGTGTTTGTKATTTTTGTACATTAGGGTTTCCTTTACATTCTGTGTCTTCCTGTTTKTTAAATTAGTCCTGGATTGTGCTTCTCATGAGCCAGTTGCCATTTCCAGTATGCCTCCCTGTGTTTTCAAAGTAGATCTGCCATATCAGCATTTTAGGTTTTGATTTAAATCATTTAGCTTTGTTTCCTGTGTTCCTCGTGCTTTTCCCTGCACTCGAGTTTTGAACCTACCAGCAACATTGACACTTAACAATTAGATAGCTTTATCTACTGTATTTTTGAAAGGCTAACCCTATTGTAAACCTATATTCGTTCAGGATTTTTACACCAAGGTTGAAACAATATTAGCAATTTTTATTCCTAATTTTCATATTTGKTGCTTGAAAACATTTGAGTTGAGCTGAACTAAGAACATTTACTGAATTAGATCCGATGCTGAACCAAAGAGGATCTTTCTTTAAGCAATAACAGAAATGCTGCTTTTAATTTTGAGACAGCTAAATCTCAATTTGTGATATTTTCTATTGCTAAAGATTATTTAAATTCACAATGTTTTCACTGTGAAAAATGTAAGTTCAACATAAAGATTTACTGTATATAAGTACATATTTCTAGAGGGGATTTAGCAGATTTTTCATATTAACTTTAGACAAAAGCTAAAACAGAGTGCAGCACCCTCTGATGTTCTTCTGCCGAATGGAGTAATAGGGGTGGGAAGTGTGTTTGTGTGTGTTGAGTGGAGTCTAAAGGTAATTTATCATTCTTCGTGACACACAACACTTCCCATTTCCCTTACAGTATGCATATTATTTTTAACTGCAGTCATGTTTAAAGCTGTGTTTAGCATTTCAGCTCTATTATGTGTCAGTTTTAAAATACAGTTTTATCTGCTGCTCACTGGCTCTTCAAAGTGTAACAAAAATTAGCCCAAAAATACAGAATCACTATGAGGAAACAGCCCTTTTCTTTGTGTGGTTCTAAACTGGAAAGCTGGAAGATAAGATAACAAGTTGCTGCTTTTTAATTGTGCCTTTTTAGTGTTATTTACAGTTTTTTACATTCCCACGTTACTAATATGTTTCACACCAGTAGATTACTTATTCCATGATAGTTATTTCTTTATGTGTGTGATGTGAAGTTAATTCTCCTTGTTTGTTATCAAAATATCTCATGAAYCACTTGATGGGTTTTAATGAAACTCCCAAGTAATCACTGGCTATACATTTATAACTGATTTAACTATTGGAGTCAACCCTGTTTAAGATGGCTGCCACAGCTAAATGAGTAAACGTTTTCTTTGAATTGTTTGCATCTACTTTTTATTATTAAAATGTCACATGAACCATTGGACAAACTAAGAAAAAACAAATTAATGTACATCTACAACTGATTAACCTTTGGAATCAACCAAAATTCAACATCATATTACATTTTGATGCACAACAACTTTAGAATGCATTGTTTTTTTTTACTAACTATGATTACATTTTGAACCTTTAATTAACCAACCCATTGAACTTCTGTTTTTAACAGAAGGCCTGACTGAGTAAAGAGAATTGTCATTGTATATTTACAATAGAGCTTCATCATTTGAAAAAAGATCAAATCCAATTCTCCAAGTGAACCTGACTGTTGGGTTTGAAGAGGGTGAATTATCTTCCGTGGTATACAGATGAAACAGCAAATACAGAAAGAGAGAAGACATAAATTAAGTCAAAATCAGCTTTTTCCTCATTTCGAAACCTTTTATTATCAACCTTGTGGAGGCTTAATTTCCCCAAGACACAGGCTGAAGTATAAATTATTTGGCTGCWACAAACCCCAGAAAAATAAAAGGGCAAACACAAAATGACAAAACTGAGAAAACCTGCTCAAGGTTTAGAAAATGAGACAATTGTTTAACTGAGTCAGTAAAACGTGTAACTAGTATTTTTGTTCCACTGAAATGATTTCTAGGCCATCAGAGCGAACAAAGTAATATTTTCTATAAGATCTGTTGTAATTATCTAACAGAGGGGCTTGAAGCTTGAATCTTTTTTAATGTCCCCTTTGTTGGGATTTCTGACAAGAACTGAAAATCTATATTTGACATTTACCTACAGTAATTTGCTAATGTTACATTGTTTTGCTTTGAGCAAAATTGATAAGCAGATTTAATTTTCATAACAAGATGTAACTCAGTGTGAAAACACCAAATGYGTTTTGTCTGCTATGTTTAGCTTTTATTTAACATTTTCATGAAAACTAATTAGCAAGTTTATTTGTGTCAGTTTCTAAAGCAACACTTGCATAAATGTGAAATGAGTGCATTTGAATGCATTATTCAGTCTYTAACACTAAATCCTTTTGTTATACATGGTTCGGGGAATAAAAATAACTCACAAGTGCATGCTGCTTCAAAACACGGTGACAATGTGAAGAGCTGCAGCTTCGGCTAACAGCCTCGCTTCTGGTGGAAGAAAAGCTGAAACACCACAAGGGAAAGGCTGGACCCACTCCCACTGAACACTTTACCACTTTGTGGTTTCCTGGATCGGGAACAAAGGGGGTTGGTATCCGACAGAGGCTTTGGAGGGAGTTCGTTTTTGGAAGGTAGAGGTCAGGATGTGTGCAAAACGGTAGGTAAGAACTCCAGGTGATGGGATTTGTAGAAGTGGCACATCTTAGAGCAGCTTCCAAATCTTGGTTCAGCCGTTTAATTAGAGAGAATGAAATCCAGAGGAAAGACACAAATAGCATTGTTGACTTGTTTACAGACTTGGAAACAATCTCAAACTGTCAACTAGTTCTCTATGTGTTTAAAAATGTGTTTAATTAGGTTCAAGGTAGGCAGGAGTCCAGGTAAGGTAAGTGTAATCAAGCAGGCAGGCAGACCAAACAGGCTAGCAGAGTGTTTGCTAAGGCAGTTCATGAGAGGATCATTCAGAGGATGGTATTCCAGAAACTGAATTTGAAAGATGAAGGCAGGACACACMGAGGAATCTATGAGAAAAAGAAGAGAAGTTTGAATAAATTTAGAAGTGGCAGACAAAACACAAAGATTACTCAAAAGGCTGAATGTGAACTTCACCAAGTTCCATCGATAGTGGTTCAGCTCAGCCTCATGTAGTCGAGCTAGTCAGCCCAGATCAGTCACAGCCGGGTGCTGCAGCTGCAGCAATCAGCTTTGAAACGGTGGAAGAAAAGCCTGAAACACAAGAAGGAGATGGGAAAAGCCTGGAAGAGATTGGAATCCTGACAACTCCAGTTCCACATTAAATAAATTGTGAATGGACTTTGGGTTTTTGCTCAGATTAAACTGAAACTCTTCATTAGGATTTTGGTTTGCATTTTGTTGTTTTAAGAACTATTCATTAAGCYACACATAGATTAAAACATTATTTCTGCCATGATTTATGACTTCAACAGAAAGAGAATTTTTCAGCTCCTGAATCGGCATTGCTTACTAATTATGCTCTTCGGGCAATAAATGTTGCAGCATTCCAAGTAATAAACCTCCAATTCTAATAACTACAAAAAAYTGAAAGTTGTTGGTTAGTTGCTTGATTGTTGGTTAATCCAGGTTGGTTCAATACTCTTGTATGTGTTGTTTCTTTCTTTTGCATCTGAACTTATTTTGCAGGTAAACTGTTTTTTTCTCTCTCTTTCTGAAGAAAATTTCATTTAATGTAGAAGGGTGAGAATTAGAGTAGAATAAGGAACAAAAGGTGTGGAGGGAAAAAGTTGAGTACTAATCTTTATTTTTCATGTTCTGATGATTTATTTTACAAGTTTCAGACAAACAATGAACAWAAAATGACTTTTATTATTTGATGTTTTATTACTAAAATAAAAGCATTTTAGTCTTTTTCATGCTCAGCTGAGAAAAGTGTCTATTAAATGTTTTGAATGTTCAATAGAGTGCTGATTATCAGACAGTGCCGCTGAAAGCAATGAAAATGCGGAGATAGATTTTTTTTATCTTCACAGATACAGTTGTAATCATCAACTTTAAAAAACATATTTTTGATTGCTTTGATGTGTACATGCTAACAGCTTTTACTTTGTTATGGGAAAAATACTGTGTCTTATTCTTAACATCCATCAGACCAGTCTGGACGAACTTTGCTGCAAGAACTCCAAAAAACCAAGAGGCTTAAAATAGGCATGACTTAAATTTTTGCCCAGTGACAGATTGCTTCCATCTTCCTCTYCCTCTTCAACCGAGCAGTTCTGCTTCTGCTTATGTAATTCAGAACACCTTGTCGTYTTTTTTCTCTCTCTCTCTCTAAAGGTCTGAACCTATTCTGACCCGGATGAAAGAGGATCACACCCGCATCATCCTTCCAGCCATAGACAACATCAAATACAACACCTTTGAGGTGCAGCAGTACGCCAACGCTGCCCACGGCTACAACTGGGGCCTGTGGTGTATGTACATCATCCCCCCGCAGGAGTGGCTGGATAAGGGCGACGAGACAGCCCCGATCAGGTGAGGGCAGTGGCTGATGAACAGCGTTCATTATGGATGAGGACGTTTGATGAAATATGGATAGCTTTGGGATATGACTTATTCATGGAGTCATCAAACAATGGTGATCAGTGGTCCTGTGTGCCGCACACAAATAAAGGCTTCCTGTAGTAAGCTGTCTAATTAGCATGATGAATATCTTCATTTTAATGCAGGATCACGAGGCCATAATGATGAGGAGGTGTCCTTACTGTTACTGTGTTGTGTGTATATTATTACCCATTGCTAAATAAAGGACAGTGGAGGTTTAAAAAGTAACGATTTTAAAATGTAAAGTGCCATTATCTGTTAAATTAAGTCAGATTTTAAMTCTCAAACATTTAGATGATTGTATAATTTTGAATAATTATGAAATGGTTTTAGATCAAAAGAAGCAAACAATATAAGATTTTAACAACTAGATGGAAACCATCCTCAGTCTGGTCATGTCCCTGTATGCCCATGCTGTTGCAGATTGTTGGACCAGCACTAAAAAAAAGCATAATTCTGAAAAGTTATGATGTAACTCCCTGTACAAAATAAATTAGAAAAAAGTCATCTATATCATATGAGACCACCAGGCAGTGGGTGGAAATGATTGTTGAAATATATAAGAATTGTTCAGTGTTAAACAGTCCATGTAATTGCAGTGTTTTTGTGAACATTTGCTACAAGTATGGTGTTGGGTAGTCAACTTCAGGATAACATGTCTGAATGAAACTTTTGCTCTGCTGTGCCCTCACTGTAGGCTATAAGATCAGCTACACATAGGATGATACAACAATTTCACTCAAGCACACAGCATCAACAGGAAAAATCTCATTTTGACCATTCTTTACAAACCTGCCTATACCAGAAAGTCTGATTGAATYCTGATTTGTTTTTACAGTTTCTCAAAAATTTAAACATTTGATGACAAAAAATGCTAACAAACAGAAACCTATTTTTTGTTTTGTTTGAGTTGAGAACAAAAAAAGTCTAGTCAACCTCCTTATATAGAACAATWTGTATTTGTGTTAAATGAAACATGACTAAGCTTTTAAAGTTTGCTTCAGAAACTAAAGTGTTGCTAAATATCATGGGCTTTGTTATTAACCCTTCAAAGTAAATACATTTGACATTCTTTTTTTGTGTGGTTTTATGAACTTAACTAGCTCAGAAACATATCAGGAAACAGCCTTTTTGGTCTGATCTTTTCTACAGACAACATAGTTTTTAGTATGTAACAAGAATTCTTGTTGAGACCCATGATTTTAATTCATGATGGTGTTCTCCAGCTGTGCTCTAAATCCTACAATCAGTGGTAGCAACTATGTTGAATGTTTTCCACTCTGGGTAAAGGAGGATTGATATGTGTGTGTAAACATTTTTGCTACATTATAAGGACCATTTTCCAAACAAAATACAGCCTTGYGGGGACCTAATGCTTGCTATGAGGACCAATGCCTGGTCCACAGGAGCACAGATGCTGATTTTAGGTTGGGGGTCAGGTTTAGGACCAAGGTGTGAATCGAGTTTAGGATAAGATTATGGTAATGTATGTACTGGGATAGTTAGGTTTAGGGTGGAAGAGATTGGAAAAATGAATGGAAGTCAATGCAAACATATCAAAGCTAACGTTTGTGTGTGTGTCTGTGTGCATAATTCTGCCTGCCGGTAGGGACAATTTTTTGACCATTTCCCCAGTGAACACAGCCTGAAGAGGACCCATTGTTCCTTATGGGGACAAAAGCCTGGTCCCCATTGTGGGATTTACCTTTGGTGGGTCAGGGGTTAGGTTTAGGACTAACTTGTAAACTGAGTTTAGGTTAGGTTTAGGGTCAGGTATGTACCTGTGAGGTGTTGTTTAGTGTCAGGGATCAGGGATAGGCTATAGAAATGGCTGGTAAACAAATGGAAGTCATTGCAAAATCCCCATGAGGATAGAAGAACAAGCACGTGGGCGACTGTCACATGGATACATGACCTCTACAGAGAAAAACCTTAGCAGGAATCTATGTGGACTTCTTCTATGCTGCTTCGGAGGCTTCAACCTTGATCCTGAAACACATTCCATGTTTGACACTGAAATGAAATGACTATAATTTTGCTCATGGATGAAAATAATTTCACTGAAATCAGAAGTTACATTTGTGTTGTTTTCAGTCGAGCTACAAATATTGGACATTTTTTCAGCCCTGWTGTAAGAATTTCATCATTTTATCAKTACTGAAATGTGTTTCTGAATTCTGTCCAAAAGAAACCAAAATAAAATTCCCATCCAGTTTCATTTCAGCCTCACAGTAACACTCTCATTAAATACAAGGTGTCTCGTAACAAGGATGCGATGACAGTTTATATCGTGGGACTAAATATTGGTTGTTTTCTCCAAGTGCCATGAAAATCATTTATTACTGAGAATCAGCTGCTGGACGTGGGACGCACAAACAATAAAAGAAGGAGTTCCAGACATTGCTGAGTTGCATCCGTTTCCCTGTTGACACTTTACTGCCAATGGACAGATCGCCTCAGGGGCCAGATGAAGTGTGTCGGCCATGTGGATTTCTATTGGAAATCATTGTCCTGCTTGTTTTCTCAAGGTTTCTGCCCATCAACAACAGAGGCTCTGACATCCTCGGAGCTCAGCCATGCGGTCTTTTCTAGCTGCTGTGTTAGATTCAAACAGAAAGATGGTGAAAGAGTGCACACAACTGTTATACTCAGGGACTACAGAGAATTAAAAACGTCTTAAAAACGTGGGGAAAAAAACAGGTTCACCTGACATGATTACTGACCAGACAAAAAGTGAAAATGGCTAACTAAATATTTTGATAGATAAACAAAAATGTGGACTCTCCAACTTGAATGACATAAAAAAAACAAGTGTTTGAAAAATGAGAGGCCCCACACTGGAATATGTCTAATAACTTATCCAGTCTGAATCGGTAGTCTCTATTTTGTTTTTTACAGACAGGTTTCAAAAAGGCAGCTTTTCTACAAATTACATTGTAAAGAGAAGTGTTTCAAGAGAGTTTGTTGCCCATCCATCCATCCATCCATCCATCCATCCATCCATCCATCCATCCATCCATCCATTATCTTCCACTTAATCAGAAGTCAGGTTGTGGAGGCAGCAGCTTGAGCAGGGAAGCCCAGACCTCTCTTTCCCCATCCACCTCTTCCAGCTTTTCTGGGAGGACACCAAGGCATTCMCAGGCCAACCGAGAGACATAGTCTCTCCAGTGAGTTTGTTGTTTTACTCATTTTTGCAGGAGTAGCCACCAGGGGTCCTTTGGTAAAAATAAAAACTTGAGATAAGAACATGACAACCTTAACTTTTTTTTAAAATACAAGCCAGGTCTTTTTCCTATGTGGTACTAAATCAGATACATTCAGTATCTGATGTTTTTAAAGCGACCTCAGTCTGAACGGTCATATTGCATTTCATCCAACTTTTACAGCACTGAGGTAGGGATAAGTGGATCAGCCTAAATGATAATAATGATACTAACCTCATGCAGTTTAAATCTCAGAACTCCAAACATGAGCACCTTCAGCTYGTACATGTCTACCCCTGTGGATGTTTACCTGTATATAATAAGCCTCAAAAATTCATAATTTTAGAGGTGTGTGTGGGTGTGTTTGTGTGTGTGTGTGTGGGGTGGGGGGGGGGTGTTCAGGGATACTGTCGGCTACAGAGATGCCMGCGCCTGCAGCGCAAAGCAGGATGACATAAGGACGGGAGAACTTATTTCTAGCAACAAAATGGGTTGGAAGCTGGTTATTCGTTGTTATTTATTGTTTTTTTATGTCCTACAGGCTCTGACATGTTAAATAAATTGGAAACTGAGTTTCTGAAAAAATSCGTRAAACTTGAAATWATCCACAATATTGCTCTATGCGTCTGTATACCTGCAGAATGAGTGAAAATCCATGTAAATTATGGACAATGTGTACAACTTGACATSTACTGAATGTCAGCTGCAGAACAGAAGTCCATTTTTTTCTTCTTTACTTTTTTTTCATTTGCCATGTTCTATGACTGAGAATGTACTGCAACAAATGATACCAACATTAGCGTCGGATATGACAAGTGACCAATAGAGTTGATTTATTTAAAAAAGATGAAAACGAAAAAGACGCGTTTTTTGTCCAACTGCAACCAAAAAAATGTATTTAAATAACTTTGTAAAATTGTCTGTAAACTCATATTTTTACATGGTACATATTACATTTTCAGGTAATATAAATATAGAGGTAAAAACAGGTGCCTGCTGAAAAAAAGCTGTGTTCATTTTCTTAAGAAACAGTGATTTAAATACTCTGGTTGGCTTTATCTTGCATAGAAGGATAAAATGTTCATGATGCAAGCAGTGACCAACAATAGGTGGTGTCCACAGGACAGATGAGCCCTGCAGGCTGACCATCTGTAAACCAAAAATAACTTAACCTTGTGATACTGGATGAGTAAACCAGGAATACCACATCACTGGTTTCAGAGATTTAATAACAAAGACCCACCATTAAAGGAATTTATCACCGAATGTCWTCTATGTCACAGATTTAATCAATTTTAATTTGAAAAATGACACATAGCTACAGTATTTTGGTTAAGCCATGACAATATTAACCATATTGTAAACTGTGATGCAATATATTGCATATGCATGATCTGTTTGTGCTTGAAGCATATGTCCGTGACTGTCAGCTATTACCACACTGAGATTTTGTTCAGCTTCAGTAAAATTCACTGTAATAATGCCTTTTGTTTTGCAAAGTCTAAAGTTGATTGGCTGTGGAGGTCATTTTAAATTAATAAGTTGTTAATGTACAGCTATACTTACTGTCTTAGAGTTGTATTGAAACGATCATGTTCATGATATACTTTGGTTACAGGCAGGTTATCAGATGARTTGACATGAACAGCTAATGTTGAGGTTTAAGGTAAAAACAAGGTTAAAAATGTTTGAATTGGGTTAAACTCTAAACATTCATCGTTTGTA